AGCCTCCTGACTCATCCTTGAAGGTCTGGAGGCATGTGCCTGTAGCGGCCATTGCCATGTAGCCATGCCTGGCTAATTTTTGTATTTTTAGTAGAGACAGGGTTTCGCCATGTTGGCCAGGCTGGTCTCGAACTCCTGATCTCAAGTGATCCACCTGCCCTGGCCCTCCAAAGTGTTGGGATTACAAGTATGAGCCACTACACCTGGCCCTGAGGTTTCCTCTTAGAAGTTTTGCATGGACTGCTTTCCACCCTGCTCCTTGACCTTGCCTGTACATTCCACTTTTCCTTGTGTTCTGAGTTGAGTCCGATTTCTCTTTCCTGCTACAAAACCCACTGAAGTATCCCCTCTGAATAGAGTTTGCCTCACCATTCTGTAACAAGTATCATGAATAACTTTTTCCTTCAAGTTTGTATGGGGTGATCCAGGATCCAACTTCAAATTATAAGAACTTCCCCAGTAGACCTCAGGGAAGTTTTTGACTGTCTGTGATAAACGTCGGAAGTCTCTCAAAATGACACCTGTCCCCAGGCCCACCCCTGGTTTGTAGTTTCTGTATTGTCAAGGTCAACCACACTGCAGCTGACCTGCAGCTTGTCTCCTCTCTAACCTTGTCCTTCCTTCTTACCCAGCGCCCAACCTGCAGCTCCTGCTCCCACTGCCTCTAGCTTTTCTTCAGGGACTGGAGGAGAGCACAGCCACCCAGAAGATCATTTCAGAGTTAAAAACCGAGGCAAACATTACAAAAAAACTAAAGTGGTGACAACCTTGGAAACTGGGATTGCCTTCTTAATCCTGGGACATCTGGTGGCCTTAGCTCAAGCTTCACAAAGCCTCCCTATGGCTTTTTTCTGGAAAAAAAGAAGAAGAAAAAAAAGAAAATCCAGCGGGCAATTAAACTCAATCCCCGCCTTCTCATGTTCCATACCAAACCACACTGCCAGCCTGTCAGAGAGTTCTTTTCTTGACTGCCTTGTGACTCAAATGACAAAATATTTCCACTCAAAGTTTTGGGAGCTTCGCCTCCCTCTTCTTTTTTTCCTATAAATGGAACCCCAAAGGTTTGGGCTAGCTGTACTTTTTCCCTTATTTAAAATGGACTTTTCCCTTCCAGAAGCAATGATTCAGGGCTGACAATTCGACGTATTTACTTATTTGTCTACCCATCCATCCCTTTATTTATTTATTTGTTGTATAAGGTAATAGCTTATGGTACTTACCCAGAGCCAGCTGTTTGCAGGATGCCGAGAGCAGGTGGTCTGGGAGGCCTCTGATGAATTGCAAAAGACACTCACCAGCTGCCGACACTGTGTGTAATGAGCAAACCTGCAAAAATCTTTATTTTCAATTGGATTGTACCTTTAAGTAAGCCAGGGAGACAGCCAGTATAACTACAGACCATGACCAACAACCCACATAAACAGTGTGCAAACACGAGTGATTAATGTACCACTATTTCAAAACATCTAAAGCTAATGAGTCAGATTTACTAGGGTGCACAAGAGAGGGGGAGAGGGATGTGCAGGAGGAGAGAACAACTGAATGGGCCTTAATAGCCTTTAGTTGAAGCCTAAGAATTCTCCTGCCTGTGGTCCACGGTGCCATCTGAGCTGGTAAACAAACACCCTGCTGGCCCATGAAGGCCATTTTCTTTCTGGCCATTCAGGGAGAGGGGTGTTCCAGTTTCAGGAATAGAATTAGGGGAGCAAGCTGGTGTTCACCGCACCCTCCAGTGATCTCTGATGATATGCGGGGATAATGGGTTACAAAGACAGACATTAATAAGGTAAGATAAGAGGGGGGAGGTTTATTAATTTTTCAAGTAAGTTAGGATGCCCCAGGGCATGGTAAAAGTGTAAAGAATCTGGTGAGCGATGAGGGGCTCGCCTGATTAATGCAAGTCAGCTGTCCTCCGAGGGCCATAGCAATAATGATGAGATTATGGAAGAACCTACTGAAGACAAATGAGATGCGTGTGGAATAAAAACGAAGTGTCCTAGTTACTCTTTTGGAGTGCATGGTGGATTTTTATCAAGGAAGAACAGAGGCACAAATGATAGCCTGAGGAAGTGGGACTCTGCTGGTTCTGCTCAAGTGCGTTCTGCCTGGGCCTTCCAGGAATTCTGGGCCTGCCCTGGAGAAGAAGTGCTGAGAAGGCAGTGCATCCAGCAACGAACACCTTCCACGTAGGCAGATCAGAGGGAGCAGGGCTTGGCTTGCTGCCTCCACCGGCCCCCATGGCCTGTGACTTGGCCTTCAAGCACCGCCCTGCCCGACCCTCCCCTTCCTGCTGCTGTTTCCTCCAGGATGTGCTGGGAGCTGGGCTGCCTTGTGGGTCAGACGTCCCCCATCTGTTTCTGCCCCGTCAATGCTGACTGATTAATTTGGAGCTGGAGAAAAGGGAACTTGCATTATTTGTCTTTTCCTTTTCGGAATGCTCACTGGGTGTTACGTCCTGTCTCTGCGTGGTCCTGGTCTTGCTTGTGTACTTCTCTTCCCTGACTTGCCATTCAGTCTGTACCTTCCCATGGAGGCAGAGACAGTGTCCCCACTCAACCCTGGCCTTTCACGCCCACGTGCAGACCGTGGCGGCAGGCGCCCTTGAGCTTCAACACGCAGAGTCATTTGAGGAGCTGGCTAAGAAGGTGGCTTTAGGTCTTAGCCTCCAAAGAGTTCAGGCTAGATACCAGGAATCTGCCTTTCCAGTAAGCACCTCACAGGTGGTTCTGATGCTCAGGTGCTCAGTTGATAGTTTGGGAAACACTTTGAAAGGGTATGAGATGGAGCATGGGCTGTCTCTGATAGATTCTTCTGAATGTTGAGGTGCCTAAAATTTCACTGAGTGATTTGCCTTTTTACATCAATTCACTAAGACTTAAGGAGGTCAGGGTAAGATGTCAGCCTGCCACCTCCACCTCCCACCATGCAGTGGTCACCCCTTACGTCATATTTAGAAATGACTCCCTTAGTGTGAGTCTGTTTATCACACTGGAGCAGACAGCTTAGAGCAGGCGTCCTCAGACTACGGCCTGCGGGCCGCATGCGGCCCCCTGAGGCCATTTATCCAGCCCCCCCCCCACCCCCGGCCACACTTCAGGAAGGGGCACCTCTTTCACTGGTGGTCAGTGAGAGGAACACAGTATGTGGCGGCCCTCCAACAGTCTGAGGGACAGTGAACAGGCCCCCTGTGTAAAAAGTTTGGGGATGCCTGGCTTAGAGCATGATGTCCAGATTTCTAGGGAAAGAGTCATGAGATCAAGTTGGAGAGGAGGAGGCAGGAGGGCAGAGGATGGCCTGGAAGAACAAGGACCTGCTGGGGAGGCAGGATAGAGGCAATGGGTCCCCTGGGGCCAAAAGCAGAGGTAGGGGAGCCAAGGAGGAGGGGGCGAGGGTGGCAGTGGGGAAGCCAGTGGTTTTCAACTTTTGTTTTGCAAAGCGTTTCTTTTCAAATGAAATCTAAGTGGAAATTTCAGTCAATAAAACCAATTAAGTAATTTATTAATATACATTTTAATTTCAAATGTATAACAATTCTATTTATGAAGTTGATAAATTATATAGATGAAGCTGTTGGAATGAACCCAAAATTTAGAAACTGGTGGCTACAGATAATAGTTCAGCCTTAGATTATCCAGAATCAGCAAATTGGCTCAGATTAATGCTGTAAAGGACAAGTTTGTTGGCAGCAGGCTTTCCAATTTTAGGAGATTCCCTTAGTCAAAGTGATTTGGACTCTTGCATGAGGAGTAGCAGGAAATTTATATTTGAAGGTTGAATCACTTACAGTGTTTAGTGTTTAGTAAATGTTCAAATTCCTCTCATTGAAAAGTCACTGCAGAAAGCAACCAGGGCATTGAAACTGTGCGACCCGCAGAGACCCTTCCCAAAGCAAATGAGAGCGAGGAGTTGTTAAGCCGAGTCCAGGTTTATCGGGATCTGCGGGCAACCCAGGTGGGAGGGGAGCTGAGCTGCACCCAGCAGCTGCCGGAGAGGGTTTTTATAGGGGCGGCGGCCTGTTTAGGCGAGGTGTCGTGGAGTGATTGGTGGAGGTTAAACAAAGGAGAGGGAAGAGCCTTGTGGCAAAAGGGGATTGGCTAGGTTTTGGCGGGCTGATGCCGGGGCGTGTACGGGTTTTGGCGGGCTGACGCAGGAAGGCGATTGGCTAGTCCTGTTGCTGGGCAGACCAACCTCCAGAGGCCTGCTGGATGTGGGCCCCAGAGGCGGCCTGCTGGATGTGGGCCCCAGATGTGGGGGATGGGCTCTTTCTACCTAACAGAAACCAGAGCTTAAATAGTCTCTGACATGGTACAGTCTCTTACTATCGCACGAGTGCAATTACCCCATGACAAGAGGAAGCCCCAAGCAGAGGCAGGAACCCTTGCTGGCATTGGATCAAGCCCTTCACTCATGTGCTCAAGGTGTGCTTGTATGCAATTTTACTTGAACCTTCACGCACAGGCCAGAATTTATACAAATATCAGTGCTGCCCTACCACATTCCTACTCAAGGAGGCAGTTCTTAGGAACTAGTAGAACCTTTATTCCCAGATCCGTACAAAATGATTTACTTGGTAGGCACAAGTTCACAATGTGCTAAAGCTTGTAAGTTTTAAAAACTTAAAATTTATATTGAATTTATATTAAAAATGGAATGCACTTTCACGTGTGTTAAATTTCTGTACATAGGTATTTCACGCGTTGACATTTAAATGTAATGTACATTTAATTTACATTAAAAATGGGTAATTTTTTTTTTCAGATTTGGGGATAGGGAGTAGGAGATAGGTGCCATACATTTGAAATACATATTTAAATAATGAAATTAAAATATGTATAGAGCCCTTGGATGCCTTCCGAGGAATGTAGGATTTGGAAAATCAGAGGCTTGGGCCAGGACTGTGCCTAAGACTCCATCACTAAGGATAAGGTGGGCAGCAGGAACAGGAAATTAAGGAATGTCTCAGAGCATCTTTGCTAACACTAGATTTTTATTTCATTTAGCTACTTGTGCAAGAAGCTACAATGAGAAAAAAATAGCAAGAAATAGATGAGGGAAGGAGGTGCTGTAGAGAGAAAAGCAGAGAATGGATTGTGCTGAGATAGAGATGCTCAGATGAAGAAGCTGGCCCTAGCACCCATAAAGCTGGAAAGAAAGTAGGGCCTCGGAAAGTTCTGGAAGGAAAAAGGCGAGGAAAGAAAAAGGCAAGGAAGTGGGATGGAGAGGAGGCAGATAAACCAAGAAGGACTTTGGAAGCATGTAAATTACAAGGGAATGAGGAAGAGCCTTTACTGAAACAGTCTGTGAAGTTTGTGCTAGCGCTGAGAGCTTCATTTTAGCGTACTGGCAAGGAGGTAGGTGCTCAAAGGCCTTTGTCTTGGAAGCCCATGTGGCTCCCCAGGCCTTGGCACTTTAAACTCCGTCCATTTGCTCTCACTGTTCCTCTCTGCCTGCTTGCTGTGGTCGCTTCTCGGCTGTCTCCCACTTAGCCCACTGAGGCTTGGCCATCGAGTAGAACAGACTCGTTTTCCTTAGGTCTGTGCTGCGCATACCGACTAACCCGCTTGCTGTACAGGTGTGGCCCCTCTCCAGGGCCTGGCACCTCATTGCTATGGTAACGGAAGACACGCTGATCATCCGGATTTTGCCTCCGAGACTTGGGCTGTACAAGCTGCTTTCCTGGAGTAGCTTGTCCTTTTGCAGTTAACCTAGATGTCTGGGGAGAAGAGCTTCTCCCAACAGGATGGCAGGCAATGCTTCCAGATGCGGTCACTTGGCACGTCTGAGCCGAATGTCTCCATAAAAATATGATGTAATTAACAGAGCCGCAGCAGCTGGAACAATTCAGTACCTCACATTGATTTTCCATGTCTCCTGTTTACTTTCAGATCTGCAGTGACAGAAAATCAAAGAATTATAATGGTGTGCGTGAGGGCCCGATGCTGGGTCGGCATTTCCTTGAGAAATCCTAAGATTAATCAGTTTCCTATCACTCAATCATCTCTTTTCAATTCTAAAGGAAAACTGTCCTCCAAAATGCTATGAAATAGCAGTCTATTTTTGGATATTAAAAAAATCAATTGTACTATTTTAAAATTTGAGGGGAGTGTTTTAAAAGTCAGCCCGAAGCAATGTTCACTTGTCTGTTTTCTCCTTCAAGTTTAATAGGAGTTGGCAACGATATTTGGGTACAGTGAGACATAAGTACTGTATTCACCCCTCCCAAATTTTGTGGGCTTGGAAAGTTACTTGGTGGAACCAAAGACAGGAACTGCGTTCCAAGTTTTTTCAGTCACTGAAATGAAGGAAAGTAAGTTTCCCCAGATGTAGTTATTCATGAGCCTTCATCTGAAGCAGGGTTGGTTTAATCATAGTTGTTCATTGGATTTCTAGCTCTGTCAGGTGAAAGTCAGAATCGGGTTAATTTCACTTTGGGTTTCTTAAAATGCTGGAGGAAATAAGCAGAAGGCTGCGGTTATAGTGGGGAAACAGGCCTCTGTCTGAAGTCAGCTTGCTCCTGACTGCCTTGGAAGGCGTATTAAGTGGTCTTGCTTTTTTACCACACTCCATTGTCTTGGTAGATTCTGTGTCTTGGCCGTACTGCAAGAACTCATTTTTCTTTGACTTTTTATTCATTCAAGCAACATAACCATTTCATAAATGATTAGGAAAATAGAGAAAAGAAGAAAATTGCCCATAATTTTACCTCTCAAACACAATAGGTATGATGGTTTTGGAGCAATTATTTTGGGTCATTTTCAAATGCTGAGTTTTGATATGATTCTAAACATAATGTACAAACAACTTTATGTATTGCTTTTTCTCTTAATATATGTCAGAAGCATTTCCGCATGTTATGATTAGTTTCAGTAAATAGCTTTTTAACTGCTGCCCAAGCAGTTGGAACAATTCAGTCCCTCGTATTGCGTTTCCATGTGACCTATGGAAGTAGAGACACCGTATTAACTATTTCTGTATTTTGAGACAATGGATCAAATACATTTTTCACTGTAATTAATCCCATGGTAAGTAGCTTTATACATAAACCTTTTCTATATATAAGATAATTTCTTTAGGATAAACCCCTAGAAATTACAGGATGAAAGTGCATAAATATTTTATGACTCTTGATATTTCTTGTTGATCTTCAAAACTATTACATGATTTTATATTATCACCTAAAATGTTTGCGGAATCGTGCTTTATGAGGGTATTTTATTGACTAAATTTGCAGTACTGAGAGAGCTTTATGTGTGCAGTTTGATGATGCTGACAGATATCCCGGAGGTGAACATTTTTTAAAGATGTTCTCTTTATGTTTAACATACAGAAGTTAATGTTAATCACGATGCCTATTTTGTTTAACATACAGAAGTGACTTTATTAAAGCCATTTCTTCTAAATGTGCAATAAACTATGAATTCTTTGCCTGGTTCTAATGTTCTATCTCATCAAACCTCATAAAACTAATTAGCATCATACCCCCTCAGTTTGCCTGTGAATTTTGAAGATTATATGAATTTCTCTTCCATGTGAAATAGAATTTGGTGGGTATCCCTTTGCTGGGAATAACTCCTTTGAAAAATAGAAAAAATATTGAGGGGAAAGAGAGTACATTTTCTGGGAAAAGAATAAGAACCCAGAGAGATGGAGTGAGAATTGTACCACAGAGTCCCAGCAGCAGATGTTTTGGGTGTTGAAACTCCCACCAGAACAGCTGCAGAAATGTAGAATCACATCTGGGTGTGTGACGCGGCTGCATCATTACCTACAGACAGCAAAACAGCCAGATGCTTCCAATTCATTTTAAGGACTAAGCTTCAGGTCTGAACCTGTGAATGTCTCCACTTCCCAACCAACGACTTATCAATTGCCGAGACAGCTCATGAAAACGTTGCCTCGCGGGCACTTGAAGGACAAACCTCGGCTGCGGCAGGTAGAGGCAGAGTGCAGCTGCTGCACACCCGGCCCTGCAGCTCTAGCTCGCTCTTGAGCTGGAGGATAAAGCCATCAAAACTCTTCCACACGACGGTGGCTGCATGGCTTGTCACTGCTGTGTGAGGCTTCTGAGGGCACATTCTGTTTAATGTCTGCTCTAGTTCTTCAAATTCTCATCTCTCTCTCCCTCTTTTTCTCTTTCCTCTTTCACTGTCTTCTCTCTCTCTCTCTCTCTCACTCTCTCTCTCTCTCTCTCTCTCTCTCTGTGTGTGTGTGAGAGAGAGAGAGAGAGAGAGAGAGAGAGAGAGAGAAAACCTTTCTCCTCTTTCCTTCTCTACAGTCTCCCAAATATAAGCTTCTCCCTAGGATGGTTGAACAAATAATTGGGGCATCATGATGGTAGTAAATGGTTCTTAAGACTTGGACACACACTGTGATTTTTTAGTGCACAGCTACTGTGTCATTTCTCTTGCCTTACATGGATATGGAAGTCAGTAAAACTGTCCCCTGGTGACAGGGCTCCAGCCTACAGACAGGCTGATCACAGACTTCAGCAGCCTCCTGGTCTTTCTGACCCAGTACCAAGGGGTGCAGGGCAGCTCACAGGCTGTGGGGGAAGGTCATTCTGTATATAACTCTTAGCCCCAGGAGAAAAGAGTTGTTCAATGGGAAAGCCTCAGGAGAAAAAAGTTACTCAGCGGTGTAAATCTCAACACCTACTGATATTCAAGAGATAGGTTTCTTTCAGGAGCAGCCTGTGTACCCCTCTCCATCCCCATGGAGGGAGCAGAAGCTGACCAGAAACATTTGGTGAAAGATAAGCTGTCTTCAACCATCACACTCAATTTCCTGCAGGAACATCACATTTGTTATTAGCAGTATTTTTATTGTGCCTGACAACCAAAATCATTCACACAGAGCTTGCAAATGGGAAGGCCAAGGAAGTTGTCTCGTCAGCCCAGCTGAGGCTTCGATCCATCTCTTTGATTGTCATTCAGAGTCCTCTGCATAACTCTCTTTTGAAGGAAAAATTGTAAAATATAATGGATCATAAAGAGGTTAAGATCCACCAAAGAATTATTTCTGGGGAGAGAGGACAGTTTCACAGAGGACGAAATGGAAGCCGAAAGAGGTGAAATAACTGGCCCAAAGTTTCAAACTGGAGTCTGGCCCCAGATCCCAGGTAGTTGAGCACAGAGCTCCACTGTGTATTTTTCATCACACTGCCTCTTTATTGGCCAATACTGCACCAGGGTCAAGTAGGATATGGTTAACTTTAGAACTCTGGGCTTCTGGTAGCGAAGGTCATTAAATTTGAGTGATGTTGGAAATACATGCTCAGTACTACAAAGAAAAATTAGCACTGAGACAAGGGATCTCTCAGCAAGGCAATTTTTACTTCCTGCAGGAAGGGTACCCTTGCTGGCCATCTTGCCACAAGAGTGCAACGAACAAAGGAAAAGCAGACATATTTCTCCCTTACGCATTTGGGACTGTCCTTACTGCTGTGTCTGATCTCGGTTGGAGCCAGATCTCACAATCTAAACTAAAACCCAATTAGCTAACAACTTAAAATTTTTCTAAACAAGTAAAAGCAATGGAGAACAGAAAGGAAGTCCAAATAAGGAAGGGGCACAGGCTGCGAGTTGGCACATGCCTGTGAGCACGACCAACACAGATAGCTTGGTTCAAGCACAAGGACATAGAATGTACTACATGCCTGTAAGCATGTTTAACAGCAACATAGGGCTTAACGAAGAGTTATTAACAAAAAAGCAAGAAGGATTTATTCTTTAACAAAAGAAACTTTGAAGAGGAACTTTTCTACTTTCCACAAGTGACATGTTGAGTAAAATGATCTTAGAGTTGAAAAAATGGACGTGTTATTCATATCCATTGTGACCTATGAGAGGTGTCTCCTATTGAAACACTTCTTATTCAGCAATAATAATAATAATAATAAAGGAGTATTTATTGAAGTGTGGACCAACTGCTGTGGGAAGGACTGTGAAATACAAGATGTATATCCTGCCGTTAAGGTACTTATAATCTGGTGAGATTAGCAGAGATAAGAAGAATCGTTAAGTATATTCAAGATGGTAGAAGCAGGGCTATGAAGGTTTGTCTATGCTGTGGAGTCCTCAAGGGGATGAGTGTCTTGAAGCTTAGTGGGCAAGGAAACCCTTCAGCCAGTGAGATTTGGGGAAAGTTTGTTAGGGTGGGGGTGAGGGTCTGAATTTGCAAAGGTGCAAAGAACTCCAAATATAGAGTAAAGGAGAAACAGTCCAGAGATTTGGAATTCGAGAAAAAGGGTAAAATGAGAAATGATAAAGCATGTTGAGGGAGTGGCTACTTTGTGTAGTGTGTAAAGCAGAAAAGGCTGAAGAGAAGACTTGGAATCAGATTGCAGTAATCTTGATGACCCTAGTCCAGGAAAGTGGAAACGGCAATACTGCTTGTCAGCTGGGGCACTGACTGCTTTGATAATAAGTGGGCTTCCATCAAAACTCGGTGAGTGGCATGTTGACCAAAAGGACTAGAGCTTGAGTTTAAAGCCAACTAACAAACCCTATGTGTTTTACGTTTTCACCACCTAGCACTTCTTTTGGCAACTCTGTAGAAGATTGTCTTATATCCTGACTTTGTCTTCAGCAAAGTCTCTGTAGCCACCTTCCAACTCAAATGGAACAACCAGGAGGGACATGCCAAAGGATGCCACATGACGACCTCTGCCACCAAACACCTGTTCCAGAAGGAGCTAGTAGAGGATTATGACTAGTTCTTCACTGTGAATTTATTAAAATCAGAAGAAAATACACACGAAAGGAGATCTGATGAGACCTGACTCGAGGTACAGGCTGAACATTCAGTAGGATGGCTTTTGTGGCACAAAGAGGAAGCCCTTTGGGCAGAACCTCAAGTGTTGTGAAATGGCACCCAGCCCTATGGGGGAACCCAATAGAATGGCAGTGGCTGAGAACTTCTGTCCACAAGGCAGCTGCTGCTCCTCCAGCAGCGTAATTTAGACATAACTAAGTGTTCAGAGCTGGAATGAGCCATACTCTGTATTTAGTGCAACTCCTCATCTCAGTAAATGTCTTGATTCTTGGTAAGGTTAGCAGTCATCTGCCTGAGATCTCTCACTTTTGTTAGGGAATGGCTGTGAGCCTAATACCAAGATCAGCTGTCGGCTTTGCTATCATTTCTTTTTTTTTTTTTTCTTTTTGAAATAGAGTCTCACATGGTCACCCGGGCTGGTGTGCAGTGGAGTCACATGGTCACCCGGGCTGGTGTGCAGTGGCGTCACATGGCCACCCAGGCTGGTGTGCAGTGGCGTCACATGGCCACCCAGGCTGGTGTGCAGTGGCGTCACATGGCCACCCGGGCTGGTGTGCAGTGGCGTCACATGATCACCTAGGCTGGTGTGCAGTGGTGTGATCTTGGCTTGCAGCAACCTTCATCTCCTGGGTTCAAGCGATTCTCCTACTTCACCCTTCCGAGTAGCTAGGATTACAGATGCCTGCCACCATGCAAGGCTAATTTTTTGTATTTTTAGTAGAGATGGGGTTTCACTATGTTGGCCAGACTGGTCTTGAACTCCTGACCTCGTGATCCACCTACCTTGGCCTCCCAAAATGCTGGGATTACAGGCATGAGCCACTGTACCTGATCTGCTATCACTTCTGCTACCATTTGAGGACTTAAGAACTTCCTCTTGCTGGGCCAAGTGGCTCATGCCTGTGATCCTAATGCTTTGGGAGGCAGAGGTGGGAGGATCCCTTGAAGCCAGGAGTTCAAGACGAGCCTGGGCAACTAAGAGAGACCCTGTCTCCATGAAAAAAAAAAAAAGCAAAATATTATCTGAGCATGGTGGTGCACACCTGTAGTCCTAGCTACTCAGGAGGCTGAGACAGGAATATCTCTTGAGCCCAGGAGTTTAGGAGTTCATGGCTGTGGTGAGCTGTGACCATGTCACTGCACTCCAGCCTGGGCAACAGAGTGAGACCCTGTCTAAAAAAAAAGAACTTCACTTGGGGCCTGTCATTTTATTATTTCTCCTAGAACGTATATTTTTAAGACTAAGGCAGCAATGTCTTTCTTATGGGCAATGTATATTCATTGCTGAAGGTCTTAAGAATTATCAGATACAGTTTCAAACAGGCAAGTAGTTACAAAGAACAAATATAATTGGAAAGAGTTGAGGTACAGTTTAAGAAATAAAATTTAGATTCTGGATCTCCCACAGGGCTGGTGTGTCCACCTGTATAACTCGAGGGAGCATGGGTCATGTGGAGTTTGATGGGAATAGTGTCCCCTGCAGTTGGGCAATGCAAGGCTGGCTCATGACCACTGCAGGTTGATTTCTGCCAGACTCTCCCAGCAGTAAGAACATTTTCCTTAGGACCAATGTTATTTTTCTCTCAGTCCAAGCCAGAATCTTTCCTACACAATCTAAAAAGCAATTTCTTTCTGCCTGATTCCCCGATGCCCATCTT